AATCTACTCAGTTTATTTCTATGGGGCCAGTTTACAACAGATGTCATCTGAAGGGCCTTAAAGCATCCAGTTTATACGCATCTAATAACAGAGACTATTATTCTCTAAACCTCATTCCCAGCTTCTCTAACAGGATTCCATCAGCTGGATGAACTCATTAACAGCCAAACTAAATCCAGACTGATTCACAGATTAATGATTTAAATCTCTGCTAAGATCTTCCTTATATAATAGTTTTCTAACTCTGAAAGTTCAACTGATCAAAGCAGTTTAAACCGGTTCAGATTCTACCTCAGATGCTGCCTCACCTTCCAGAGATAAACCAATCATAGATAGAGGAGTGCTAATGATCTTATTTTAATAAGATCAATCTTATTCATAAAGAATCCCATAAAATCATTCCTGCTAAGAGCAGGTGGAATGGACGGTTCAACAGAGCTATGGCTCTGGGTGAGTTTGGCAACTGGATTAAAAAGATATCTGGGATTATTCTTATTCTCCTCTATTAATGAGGAGAAATATGCTGCTCTGCTCTACAAAGGGTCCTCTTATACAGCAGTAAACTATTTTCCAGACTAGGCAGGATTCCTGTAGCCATGTAGAGCATCATTTTCTCTTCTTAACATTATGCTAGTGAATTTAAAATCCTCCTTCTCACATATAAAGCCTTAAGTAACCAAGCTCCATCTGATATCAGAGATCTGATTGTTCCTTATGTTCCTAACTGAGCACTTTGCTCTCAGTCTGCAGGTTTACTAGTGGTAACCAGTACAAAGTCAATGAGTAAATGCAATTAGCAGGTTTTCCATAGACAGAAACCTTTATTACTGATCTGACTGCATGATCTGGTTGAATTGACTCTATAAAGTCCTTTGAGATGACGTGTTGTGTATTGGCTCTATATGAATAAAGTTAATGAATCTTCCAGGCAGCTGTTAGTTATTGACATAAATTTAACATCTGATCAGACTGAGTATAAAAGCTAAAGCTTGGGTTTATAGCTGAGTGAGATCCTGAGTACCTCTGATGGAGGGATTTTATTTCCTCCTCTCTTTGTTTAAGAGCAGATCTGAAGGAGAGAAAAATAAAACAGAAATTAAAGAAATACTTCTTATTATATTCTGATGAATATTGATCAACTATCAGTTCAGTTATTCCAGATGTTTCTCAGGGAAGCTGATAAACCTGATCTGGTTTATGTTTTCTAGAATGAATAAAGTGACTTACTCTGCTTGTTCTAGTTTCTGTGGGTAAAGAGCCTCAGTCTCTGCAGCAGCAGGAAGTTTCTGTTTCTCTCTTCCTGCTTCTCTACAGACACTGAATTCTGCTGCTGTTCTATTATGGAAATTAGATGAAATTAAACTACAAACCTGCTGAAGTTTTCTCACCTTGCAAATGTTTAACATGTAAATTAAAATTCTCTCATTTATTTAATTTTCATTTATTCACTCTTAATTCAGCTTATTTCCTATTATTTTCAGACAAATTTCCAACAGATATATCTCCTCTCTATATTTGGCCCAATCATAAAAGTGAATCCATTCCCATTGAGACACATTTCCCATAATGCATCTCTGAGATGCATTATGGGAAATGTGTCTATAGAAGCTTTTGGAGACAAAGAGA